AACTTTTTACCATTTCACTCATCCAACACTTTAATCACCACGTTACTTATGTTTTTATAATTATAATTTAAAATTATCTGTCAGATGATCTGAAAACTTACATATATTTGTATTTAAAAAAATGAATAGGAAAACTTAAAAGATCAGAGAATCCCATCATCACAAGAAAAAATATTGTACGAGCCATTAAAATTTAGGGAGAATAAGAATACTGTTGACAAGTAAACATTACTGGCAATATTATTATTAAACATCTTCTATAATAAAGAAAGTCGCACATGAGCCACTATGAACATCTTCTATAATATATTATTACTTCTTGTCCCTAACAAATCTCCGAATATATTCTTCCTTATAATTTTAAAACATCAAAGGACCAAAAAAAAAAAAAAAGAAGAAGAAGAAAAAGATAAAATAAAAACATGGTACAGAGTCATAGGCACATCCAAACTTCGTGCTCCATCCCTCTAGAGCCGGTCTGCTTTCATTTGATTGTGCCCATGCCAACGAACCAACTTCAACTTCTGTTCTTGCACTTCTCCACGGCCCTTGGTGCTGCAAATTATAGTTAAATAATTAATAAATTTCATATGTTGGGTTAACTAGTTACGACGTGCTTTGTGCGCCGTAATAGATGTGTTCTGGTGTGTAGTTAATTTTAAAGGTGCTAACCAAGTCCAATGGCCTCAGATCCTTTCATTATCCGCAAGCGTTTGCATGAATCAACAAACATTCTGTGATATGAAAAGCAAAATGAATGATATATTCAAAGTGATCTTGCACTGCAGCTAAATAAATATTAATGAATTTGATTAATAAGTTAAATACCCCCATGGCACATCCCCCACAAGCATCCAATCTCCGTCCTTGTCCTCATAAGTAGGCACATAATCAGAACCATTCAGAAGGTCTATCAGTTTGCTCTCGTTCATGAAATCCTTCATTCCATCTGACCCGCAGTTACCTTCAAATATATATTCCAAAATTAAAGAAAATATTATCAAAAGTAATTAACAATTAAAAAAAAAAATTACCAATGGTGAAGGAGCTGAACATTTTCCCCAAGGCAGTAGACAGCTCTTGGTAGCTCTTGTACAACTTCAAGTCAACTTTACGCAGATAGGGCGCCCCATCCATGCTTACTTTTACAAATGCTGCACTGATATTGCTGTTGCCCTTTTCAGCCTCCTCCGAGCTCTTCTTTTGGACGGTCACGATGTTCTTTCGGAAAGATCGGACGGGTGGCCAACCCACAACTTGAGCCCTGTAATAATAGTGTAACGTTACGTATGAGTCGGAAGTTGTTAATTATCTACCTTGTTCTACTTTTTGATGAGCTGTCCTTAATTCTTGTTTGGTGGTTGTGGTTGTGGTTGAGAAAAAGAAGCAAATAAGATTCCATATGTTTTGTTCGTTTCCTTGGTCATCCCGACAACCAACCGAAGCATTCCAAAACACCCAATTCAATACGTAATACATAATTCAACCAACGCAGTCCATACTCTACATCAATTATTTTTCCGGATGGAAGTGCTTATTATTTTCTAAACTAAAACCGCCACGGTCTTGTAGATTAAGTGGTTAAGAATAATTATTCTGCACTGGAAGTCGTCTGTTGAAATCCTCCTTCCCCAAACTCAAAACCCTAGTTGGGTTGGGTTACACACTTTTTTGAGTTGTAATTGCTTCATAACTTTCTACTTAAAATGAAATCTAAGAAGAAGAAGAAAAAATACATCACTTACTTGGAAGCAGGGGGTTTAGATGGGTCATTTGCGCTGGGAGCAGGTGCTGCAGCATTCTTTTCCCTCTTCAACTCCATTAGTTGTTGATCTTGATCTGCTGACCGATCAGCTGACTGATCTTGAGATGAGATATTGAGCTTTAAATCAACAGTTTCTGAGAAACCTCTCTTCCCATTGTTCTTGGCAGCTTCTCCATCCTTTCCAGGATTAGCTATTCCACCAGGCAACCCTAGGCGCAGTTCAGTCTCTTCAAAATTTATCAAGCTATATGTCTGATGCTGCTCTTCATGAGTCACGGTACTCATCGTGCTGCTCAACTTCTTCACTTCCTCCTTCGTCTAAGGGTTTTTCTCTCTTTTTCTTTTTCTTTTTCTTCGTTTGTTGGTTTAGAATGGGCTGTAGCTTTCTCGATCGTTCTTAGTTATAATATGCTGGTGGAGAGGGTGCAAATTTAAGAGGGAGCGCTAGATAGAAAACGTGCAACTTTGGAAGAAGGCCAAATTAGCTCCTGTCTGAGAAGATATATGATATTGGTCTAGAATCTTTTGGGGACTTTAGACGGTGGAGATGTTGCCAAGTGGAGGGTGCAGTTTGCTGGATCGCTCGGGCCTTGTCGGAAAACTGATGTCACGGGTGATGTCAGGTTTGGAATGATTGTGGTAAAGGCAAGTGGACACAGGACAACTTGGCTCTGTTCGCCTTTTATTTGTTTCCTTGGCCCCTGGGCTCCACCTCCACCAATAATTAATCATTCA